AGTTCTTGTAAACGTGATTTATATTCATGAGTTGTGCTTGATATCATTTTCATACCTGCGATCTTGACACTTTTACCTAGAGGATGAGTACTTAAGGGGGTCAGATATTAATAAGTCTTTAGTGGAATTGACACTGATGAAGATTGCACGTTCTAATCGAAATACGTATTTATCATAGATACCAAAATTAATTAAATGGAAAATAACCTGTTTTCCCCTTTTTAAAATAATTTTCAATATTTTAAATGGAGTGAGGAAGACTTGATGCAGGTTTAACCCACAGCCCAAACTCCCAGCTGGATTTTAGTTTGTGTTTTCTGTAGCGTTACGAAACCGACGCCTGTTCAGCGCCGTAAACTACATTCATGAATTTGGGATTTATTTCACGAAAATGTGATTTACTCGATCACGTTTACGGGAACTAAGTCATGAATTCAAATGAACTACAAGTTCAGAATATCGTGATTTTTTGTTCACGAATACCGAAACGCTTTTTTCTTGCGTGTACCTTCCAATAATCTGGCTCTTCACTGGAGTTTGAATAACACAAATCAAATTTTGATTAATCTATTTGATTTACATTAAAACCCATCAAGAACACATATCACTTGTTTGGTTGCGGAGTAATCGCTATTCAAAAATACATTTTATAAAAATCTCAAAATCCAGGGTTGTGCCCAGAGGGAGCCAAGCAATTTAGAGCAAAATTTAAAGAGCCGTTTCCTTAAAATAACCAAAATAAGCATTTTAGCAAAGTGTGATTGAAATCGGTGACATTGATTACAACTTTGTGTACACTTGAGCTAGAATCACCCATATACAGTGCTGTTCGATATAATAAAAGCGCATGCTGATTTTTATACAAAATGGTCAACTTTCTCATGATGTAACTTTGTTGTCTTCCCGCATAAATGCGAACCATAACTTGACCTTACCGAAAATGGTTAAAAAATGATTATAATCCCTGCTAAACTTTAACTGAAATGGTTATGGAACTTTACATGAACGTTTATGTGATAAAGTTTTAACCTAATGTATTATGGTTCTTTGGAAGTGAACCTTACAAAAAATGGGTTGTTAAGAACCATTACCATTCAAAATAGTTGTTTTCTCCACACATTTTCGGAGAGAGGACTATATTAGAACCTTTTTCCTTAAAGTTTGAGAACTTTAATGGTAATGCCCTCCCCTTGGCTAGTTTTTGCACCTTGCTGTTGGTGGGCGGGCTTAATTTCATGCTTTATAGTGGAATGTTGGAGACGGTAGGTTTGTGGCCAGCGTTGCTGGCTTATGCCACGATAGAATGGCGTCATGGGCAGGTAATGGGGATTACTAAGCTTCCCCTCTCTGATGAACCACTGCATGAGAGAACCAAAGATCTAGTCTAGCAGTGATAGTATCACCCTTGTTACTCCTTTGATTGAGAGCCGCGTCGTAGTACGCTTACGTATAGGCACTGACGTTGGGTGCGATACTGCCGGGTTTTGCCGCAAATCACTCTTATTTATTTTTTACGCACATAGATTTATTTGGGTTTGCAAGGGAATTATACTATTGAAATATTTCAGAAAGTGTCCAACAGTGCTCCTTCTACTTGCGTGACAAGCTTTCATTGTTGTTTTCATTGAAGTATTACAATGTTAAACATCATTTTTGTACATGGTATTGTAACTAATCTTATGTGTGCTTCATTTTGATTTGGGATAAGTGTTTGAACTATGGCTCGGGATTTCCACTGTGGCGTGCTTCTATTGTGACATACTCATACGTATTTTTGTGGTGCGACATAGTGCAAACGAGTGAGCATAGTTGGAGCATATACCCTATACAATTTAAAAATCAGCTAGGAAACTAACTTCAAAGTGAAGTTTTATGTCACTTGAAGGTGTCACTTGGGTCGAACTAAGATATAATAAATAGGTATAGGTCAGAATCAAAAGTACTTGAAACACGTTTAATTTTGGATACAAGCACAAGTGCAGGTACTTAGTAAAGCATGGGTTATGATTGATTAGGTGAATTAGAGATTTCAATTATTTATTAAATTAGACTAATGAGATATCATAATCATCAAATGAACTTAAATAAGAAACTTCAGAAAGTCTAATAACATTAGGTAGATAGACAAAAGAATTAGGATGCGGGGGGTCCGCTTAGGGAGGCAACTAACCTTTGAAGTTGTAGAATAAATCTTCCTTGAACTTCAATAAGAAAACGCAAGCAAACAATAGTATTTAGCAAATTTACAAGGAGAGGAATAGTTTAGGAAATAAGTAAAAGTAGAGGTATATGACAATTGATAACTTTTCATCTTTTGAAGGTATTGTTTTCCCCTGAGTTTATTGTACTCGATAACTATATTATTCTCTCAATACGCGAAATCTCTGATATATGCGGTTAAGGCATTTGAGCTAACTTATTTCTTTGTGTTCAAGTACTTACATTTGTAAACAGCAGTCAATGTTAATCTATGAATTAAACCCTACGTGACTGTAAGATCGATCTTTTCTTATGTGGTATTGACGCATCGATGCATGTTTAACTTTTCGTGGCTGTCGGATTCAACGCGCCTACGTCTACGGAGCTTACGCAGAAGTGATTCGCAATGCGGTAGAGCTCACCAAAAGTTTTTTTGAGCTTCTGTAGTATAGAATTTGTTCGGTACGGTCGCGAAATCTTGAGATGATTGATACGTGCGGTAAAATAACTAAATTGAAACAAAGCTCAACAGTAAAATAATAGAATAGAATAGAATATTTAGGGAGTAAATAAAAATTAATCAACTTGCCAACATAGGCTATCACATTTATTTTGGTGGCACTCTTTAAGTGATAATAAGCTGTTTTTTCTCTACGGTTGTCTCGCGTGGCGTTCAAAATTTGCGCGATTTTCGTATCTTACGTAATTTAGATGTTTAGCTCTAAACGGTTTTACTGACTCGAGGTCGTTCCTTAAGCGGTGTTGGTACAGGTTAAACCTTTGCCGACTGTCGGATTCAACGCGCCTACGTCTACGGAGCTTACGCAGAAGTGATACGCAATTCGGTAGAGCTTGTCAAACGCTTTTGAGCTTATGTAGTATAGAATTTGTACGGTGCGGTCGCGAAATCTTGAAATGATTGATACGTTCTTTAAATTAACTAATTAGATACAAAGCGCAGTAGTAAATAAGTAGAATATCTAGGGAGAAAACCAAAATTAATCAACTTGCCAACATAGGCTATCACATTTATTTTGGTGGCACTCTTTAAATAATAATAAGACTTTTTTCTCGCTTCGGTTGTCTCGCACGGCTTTCGGAATTCGCACGGTTTTCGTAACTTGCATAATTTAGATATTTCGTTCGAAACGAATTTACTTATTCAATCGGTTTACTACGCGGATGTATCTACGCGCACACGTCACATTATTTTTTCTATAACTATCTTGAAACAATACACACGGAATCCAGTGTTCACGCGGCCAACATAGGCTAATCCTTCTGTTGTATTGTCAAAGATAGAAGCAAAATTTATTCAAATAGGTCAAGTCTTGAAAACTAAGCTGTCACGCAGCTCCAGCTTGATACCCAATAAAAAAAACTTTAATGGTAATGTTTATGGTAGCCAGTAAGGTCCATTAACGGTTTTGTATTATCGGTCAACTTTACGTGCAATATATCGCGAATTGGTTGCCTGTAAATGATTGATTACCAATTCGCGATATATTCCACGTAAAGTTGACCGATAATACAAAACCATTAATGGCTACCATGACCATTACCATTAAAAATCTCAAATCATAAATAAAATGGTTCCAATATAATTAATTTCCCAAAAATGTATGGAGAAAACAACTATTTTGAATGGTAATGGTTCTTAACAACCCATTATTTGAAAGGTTAACTTAAAAAAACCATAATACATATGGTTAAAACTTTGTCACACAAACGTTCATGTAAAGTTCCATAATCATTTCAGCTAAAATTTAGCAAAGATTATAAACAGTTCTTAACCATTTTCGTTAAGGTCAAGTAATAGTTCGCATTTATGCGGATTATGATCAATTGAGATGAAACCTTAGTCACCGAACTACAAATATGTTCAATTTTACAATTACAAAATATCAAATTTTTGGAAGTACCTCCCGGAAAATCAGATACTAGGTAAAATTGTTCGAAATAATAGCGAAATAATACGCGGAGCAATAGACCAAAAGTAAATGGCAATACATTTGTACACATAATTCGATCGAAATGATTTGCGGTCTTGGACAATGTTGTTCTGTATAGTTTGCCCGATCTAAGTTTCAGGTTTGGGCAAAATTGAGCAATGTGTGAAATTTTTATCTGCAATTTGATTTGATATTTTCTTTCCATTTCTTAATCGCAACTAAATTAGTTCAGATTTGGCACAGTTAGGACCTGAACACAAATCATAAGAGCAGTTAAAAACAGGTGGTTATAAAAATGACCCACCCTAATGTACACTCGACACTGGTAAGTAAACGGTTTGTAAACCCTATCTTCGACTCTCAAATACCATCATAAAAAATACATCGTTCTGTTGTTGTTAGTCTACCGCCAAAGAGCAGAGCGCACCTACAATGTTTATTCATTTTTTACTACATCTCCCTACTTGTGAACAACAAACAATCCCACATACTATTCTCTTTTCATAAACCCATACATTTGCGGGCCTATCGGCGCGATAATAATAAGGGACCATCCATAAACGAGCCATGCATTAGGTGTAGAAAAATATGCTACGATGAAGGAGGGCGAGGTCTAAAATTGGTCAAAAATATGCTAGGTCATTTATGCATGGTCCCTAAGGCAATGGCAAGAGAGAAACCTTGATCGTCCCCGTCCATCTATGTCGCTACTATAATACGTGAGCTAAAACATTCAACACACACAACGCACCAAAGCAGAGAGCGAGATTGGCGGCTTCGGCCGCGAGCCACGCCAGCAACGTTATTCCCATATTTTATTACAACTCGTCGTTCACTTTCGATCATCGTCTCAGTCAGTGCGGTTGGACAGAACCTCTTCAAAGTCAGAACAAGTACAGTGAAGTTTTTAATAGCAAAGGGTTATTTTTTAAGTAGCACAATACTGAACTGAAATTTAAAAATAGTGAATCTTTGGGTTTTCCGACTACTGTGAACTGGCGCCCTCTTTCTGAGAATAGTATTTTAAAAGCAGACTACTATCCGAGTATAAATATAGCTGCAGTGCAGTGCGCTGGTATGTTTGTCTGAATGAATAATAGTGACTATTTTACAACCAAGCGGAAGAAAGTGAAATAGCGTAGTTATAGTAGTACGCCCGATGTAGTGAAGCTTGACGCTCGAAGTAACACGAAACGTGCACCTCTCATTGAACAACGTGAAGCCATAAGAACACAACAAAATACAAGTCCTTCAAGCGAACAAAACAGCTATACATACTACACTAAAACTCGACCTGGGTGCGTTCATTCAACTGTGTTGGATCGTCGAATAGGGTTCTAAAGAGTTTAACTCTAAACAACAGGCATCACTTTGGCGTCCCTTCGGTAGCGCATATAACCAGCTTCAAAACGTTCTCCCTCAAGATGGATATCTACTACATGAGCGACAGCATCCAGTACGGGTCCTTCCGGAACCAGCTGTACCGGGACTATGAAAAATTCCCCTACGGTACTCTGGAGAACCCGCTCAATAGTCCCCCCAAGAGTAGCCAGCAGCTTCAGAAGCAGCAGCAACAGAAGGACAGCTACAATATGGCACAAGGTAAAGTGTTAGCAGTACCTACATCCCATTTATTTGTTTTGTATTCGTCATGCAGTCACTCTGAAGAGGCTCGTTGGGGGTAGGGGAGAACAGTCCATAATGCAGCGCTGAGGCAAAATGGTCCGGCGTCGTTTTTGTTGCTTTCCCATACTAATTCTAGGATTTTTTGTGCCTACTGAACTGCTAGCAATTCTGTTCGTTAAATTAACGAGTTGGTTATCGGAAAGCTATGAAAAACAGCATGGGGCCATTTTACCTCAGGGGTGCGTTTTAGACCATCCTACCCTACATACGTACTGTGTGAATCGAGTTTGGTGTGTGTTATTTGTGTGCATTCCTCTTTCGGATTGGTTTCATATATTTCTGACTCTCCATGCGTGGCCTGCACGTTCGCTTCCGATTAATGTTTGGAGGAACGGTGATTGTGCTACAGAACAATATTGGAATTTCAAATAATTAAATTAAAAAGTTTTTTTTTAATATTGGAATTAAGTACTTCAAGAGTAAGCTAATCTAATTTCAAAAATGGTACATACATTTTAAATTTACAAAGTATATCGAAGATTGGCATACCGTTAAATAAGCTGCATTCTTCAGCAACTACCTGGTTCAATCAAAATTACGCAAATTCATTCTATCGATCATCGAAGACCATGATTCTTTCGATGATGGTCAAACCCATGGACCTTTATAGTCACGAAAACACGGAAAAGAATAGACGAAATCGAGTAGAAACCATGCATGTAGGCTGCAAATGAAGCCAAAACAACTCAACATCAAGGTTCGTTGGCTTGGTTTCAGGTGTCTTTGCCCCCTAGCCCGGATTCGATTGCGCAGTGGAATTACCAGTTATCCGAAAAATTACTGCGTTAGGATTCGCACACCGAATATGTGTGTTATTTGAATCTATGTCACACATGCAGCTATGTGGAACTAGTTCGGATCATTTAAAATTAAAGCGTGTTCAGAGTGAGTGCACTTTCCGGGCGAAATCACTTGTTGGCTTTGTTTGTGCAGACCAGCCAACAAACCGGTTCACACTATAAAACGCATTTGCTCTGTTGGCAAAACTAGATTGTTTTTATTTAGGAATGGGGGGGTACATACTACGTCTCACGTATCCCCGCGAGTTTGTTCGTATCTTGGCAACTTGACATCAACCGTCGTGGCGTCTTGTAGCATGTTTATAATCCGATACGTGTATCTATTTATAGCCACGGCTGAGGATTGTTTCGTCACTCACTCTTGCTACAATGTGTGCGTGTTTTTTTGCGTAGTTAACCAAAACGCAATAATTGCGTTGTTTGACGGGTCGGTTTATTGTAGAAAGATATGGGAATGCTTTGAAGTTGTTTTGATTTTTATGTAAACACCTATGGAGAAACCTATCTGAATCAATCGGAGTGTTTTCGAATAACTTATCTTCTCAAGTTTTAACCTTCGTTTGTTTTAGATAAAGGGAACAATCAACACTGATAGCGGGTTTAGGGTAGGTAGTTAATGGGCAAAAACAAAATAAATTATTCAAGATCAGCGATCGTGATTTGTTTGTTGCTAACCTCCTATGAATATGGAACATCTGTTTACGTATAGTGGAAGCAGAGGTGAAGTCACGTTGGCCGTCGTTTGAGGGCTCGGCTCAGAAGTGATTGTATTATTAGAAAAAAGCAAAAAGCATCGAAGGTATGTTGACTGAGCTCAAAAAAATCTTGAAAATTCGTCAAACATCAGTTAGGGTAAACGCTCCTTGTGGTATTTTAGACGCGTTAGGTTCGTATAGTTGTGTATTGAGTCTCCATGCACAACTATATGAACCTAATGCTTCTAACGTAAAAATACATTCTTGAATATATTTGCAGAACAATCAACAACATTCTTGGAAATAGACCATTTTCGTAGTTGGAAATGCTTAACAGCAAATATCAGGATTAATGTGGACATTTTATACGATAGATAAGGAGATGAAAATAAAAAGTTGATAGTTCCGTTATAGTGTGAAATTTGTATACAGAAAGTAGAAAGCGAACAAAGGACAATTTTGAAGAAGGTACGAATCGGGTAGAGCATCTCCTTTACAAAGCTCATTCGTTAATGAGGGATGGTGAGGGGTGTTTCCCCCTGCCACCGGAAAAAGCGATGATCGCCGTTTTGCTCATGTACCTCCGATGTGCGGCAACAGTTCTATCGATTGTTTCAACTACCTGATTCGTACCTTCCTCAAAATTGTCCTTTGATCGCTTTCGTCTTTGTATATACAATTTTCACATTGCCGTACTATAACGGAGCTATAAACTCTATAATTTAATCTCCTCATCTATCGTATAACATCTCCCCTTTAAGTCTGATATTTGACGTTAAGCATCTCCGACTATGTAAATCGTTAAATTCACGCAAGAATTAATAGCACATTATTAGTTAAAGTAGATTATTTTCAATTTTTTATTGATTCTTCTAGGAATTCCCTGAAGGCTCCTTCCATAAATCCGTTTTAAATACATTTGAATTCTCCTTGAATGTCCTTGCAGTTTACCTCAGAATTTTCATAAATTTCTGTTTAGAATAATCTTGGACTCCTCCCCTGCATTCAATTGGAAATTCAATTCGTATTCTCCTTAGAATTCCCATAGTAATTTCTTCAGAATTCTCAAAACAAAAATCCATCACAGAATAACTTTGAAATTCTTCTCAGAAATCCTTTGAGACTGAACCCTTATTTCGAACTCTTTAGAAATCGCTTGGAAGTAACTTCAGAAATCACCCCTGAATTATTAGAATTGGACCTAGAATCCTCATCCAATCATCATAGAATTCTTCTCAGAACTCTCGTTAAAATGCACTCTCAATTATATTGGAATTATTTCCAAAATTGTTTCGGAGCTGAATTTTGCGTCTCTAATAATTTAAACAACAATCAAAAGCGACGCTCGTATGTTTTAAGCCAAGTTTAACTAAATAAGTAAAACTGGCTTAAGATTTAAGCGGAGATGAAGAAATCGGTTATCAGAGAACTTAATTTTATATGAGACTTTCATAGTCTGTACTTTGGTATTCTTCTCTGATACATATTGGTGTCTTCCCTAGAATCCTTTAAAATTAGCCTAAAATTTACTTTGGATTTTTTAAAGTTCTTAATCATCATTGAAAGACTTTTGAAAATCTATCACAGACAAATACCTTTGTAAAGTTTACAAGATTTACAATTTATTTTCTGGGAATCGAAATAGAAGGCATTTCCCAATAGTTTTCCTGGTCTTCTAAAGTTATGCGGTTCACTGGTTCTGGTTAAAATTTTCAATTTTCTAACTGATATGTATATTGCGTTAAAACTACTGTAGAATCTCTGCCAAGTACTAAAGTTAAGCATTTTGTTGATATTTTTAAATTTCACTCTATTTTAGAAGTGACTATTTTGAGGGAAATAGTGACATTAGTGACTTTTTGGCGTGAAAAGTGACTTTTTAGTGACTGGCTTCAAAAAAGTGACCAAGTCACTAAAAAGTGACCTGCTACCAGCCCTGCACTTGGTAAATATTTGGAAATACGTTTTTCCAGTTGCTAAAAACGAAATACTTTCAATTGCAAAATGTCATGGTCAAATTGACAATCCTAAGACAAAATAACCTGGAATCTGGAAAGCGTGACATTTCATTCTTCTAATCTTCAGATCTTTGGTAACAAATCGATCAACGGTTTTTTTCAAGTGAAAATGTAATAGACCTAGACTGCCGTTATAAGCATAAGTATCTCACAGTGGGACATGCAGCTGTCATTTACAAGCGACGTAAATTTAGAATAGACACTTTCCACCTATCTACGTGATTTATGAAAAAGCCATTAGCTTTTTACTCTAAGAATGCACAGTATGTAGTTGTATCCTATTCAACGTCAACTACAAAAAAAAATCAACTTTGTGAGTATCTCAAGGAAATTTTAGAAGAATTACAAATGAATTCTGAGAAGAAATGAAAGTGAATTTTATGCTCTGGGAATGCCCTGCAGGATGACAGTAACTTAAAATTCAGTCGGATTCGACTGAAAATCACAAAAAATGTACTCAGTGATTGAATTAGGTTTTCCTCAAAAATCTGCTAGAATATGAGGAAAATTGAGAAAAAAGTTACTCAGCCTCGTAAAATGAGTAAAATTTTCATCTATTTTCTTGATATTCAAGCCAATTTTTGGAGAAAATCGAGAAACATTTTACTCACTTACTGAGTTATTCATACTGTTTGAAATTTTGAGTCGAATTCGACTCAATTATAGACGAAAAGGTGAAAATGGCCAATGAGCCAAATTTAAACAAGGACTATAAACGTCAATTGCTCGGCTAAAATTCATATTAAAATAGAAAAAAAAAACAAAACTCGTGGATGAAGACTTCAGGTAAAACCAACAGCAGCATCTGGTAGAGGAAGTTTACTCTATCAGATGGGGTAGATAGTTTACATGGCTGTTCAATAATTCGTGAGAAATTGACGTTTAAAGTTATTGATTGCCTGTGACTCATTGGCCCTTTTCACATGTTCGTCTAGAACTTTGAGTTACTCTCATCGACCAAGTGAGCTGAATATCATTGAAATTTGCCGAAAAAAAATCCTGAATATAATTTCTAGATAATTGTGTTTGTATTTCCTAGACAATGCTGAGATGTAATCCAAGAGAATTTTTAGGAATATTCCAAAGGTTAACTTTTTAAAAGAATTATGGAAAGATGTTTAGGGGAATTCATGCGAGAATTATTGCGAATACTAAAATAATAATTGTACAGCAAATGCTAAGAGTTTCTTTGAGGAGATTTTTAAGATAGTATGCAGAGAATTTTGAAGGCTGTTTTGGGCATTAAATTCAGAGAAATGCCAAAGAGAATCACAAGATTATTCAGGAGAAGCCAGAAAATAACTCTGAAGACATCTCAAAGTGATGATTCTAAGGACATTCTGAGAAAATTCCATTTATATCCTATGAATTGTAATCTTTCAGAAATCGTAATCTTCAAATATGTTATTATAGGTATGAAATAGGACATTTATAAAATATGTTTCATCTCTGAAAAGTAAAAATCAGTTTGCATACACAGGTTGTAATAAATACAATAGAGAAAAAAAAGTAAATCAAAATAGGCAGACTCGGTCAAAACCGACCCAAAAATGGGTAAACTAAGTTCAAAGTTGCAATCATATCAAATACAAATGTTAATATTTATCAATATGACAACTATCTGCCGGATTTTATCTTTGAAGAATTGTGACCAGTCTCTTCGCCGGATATGAATCAATAGGATTTGTCTTTTCGAGGCAATATGGATGATAGGTTCAAGAACCTCAAACCATTACATGTTGTGTTTAACGTTCTGGACGCTAGATGAAAACCTCCTTCATCAAACTAAGTGGCAAAAATAACGCGAAATCTGTTTGCATAGAAATGTAATAGTAGTCCTTACTACATTCAGCAACTTTTACCTTCCTAAGATGGTTTTATAGGTCCAATTCATTGGTGTAAATCTTCTCAGTTCATGAAATCAGTGAGTGAAATTAATGTCATGATTTGAAAAGTTTTCCGACGGCCGTCGGTGAATTTGTATGTGCTGTAAATTATTATCCTTTTATGCCAAACTGTAGGAGAATCTTGCAAATAGAATGTTAGCAACCCAAACTTACATTCGATGTATAGGCCGTTTGTGTGTAGTGAAAACCCTATGGTATTTTATAATTGGGATCTTTAATGTTAAAAAATATATCGATTTTTATACAGCATCTGAAAGAGCTTTGTTTTCTGAGCACGACGATAATTTTTCGATCCCACAGACTTTATTCTTGATTTTTAAATCTAGATTTAAAGTAAAATAATAACTTCGCTTTTTGTCACTTAACTACTGGTGATTTTTGCTAATGTAAGCGCACTTATTTCAAATGGTTCCAGTGCACCAACATTTATAAAATTTTGAATTTCGGTTCCATTTTTAATGCAGATTATAAGTATGCATTTACCGCAATACCCCTAAAGGATCCAATTGAATTTCAATAAAATTCCTTAATATTTCCTGGACTGAAATAAAAATAAAAATGAATTGTTTCATGAATCGTACGGGATAAATTTCTATGGAAACTATTTTTTTTGGAAATCTCGCAAATTCATGACTAACTTGTAAAAAAGGACCATTGCAGTATGTATTTGTAAAAAATCGTTGATCTTTTAGAATAACAAAACTCCTCAAAGCTTTCTTAACCAGCCGTTTTTGTGATTCATTTGCAAAATTTTAACTTTCATCCTGATCCTCAAGGTAACATTTCATCAGACAGAATTAGGCCAACACTGAAAGAATCCATATTAATGTCCCACCCGTTAATCAAATTAGTCTTCACGCACGAAATCCACAGTCATCTCATGTTACAAGTAACGTGTTACGATAAATTTACGATTGCTTTAAGACAATTGTGTTTGTAACAAATCACACCTATATAATTTTCGTAGCGTGAAGACCGGCATACGTTGCACCCTTCATATTGCAATACTAACTGATTCACAGTTGCTGCTGACCTACTTTACATAAATGTACACGGTTTTTCTCAAACCGACGCCGGCGCGGTTGGGGGTAAACTCCCGTCGTTTTTCCCCAGAGATCACTACATAGAAACACAGCGGGAAAAGGCTATCGACCATATTGGATGCGTTGCCTTGAAAACACACACAAAGGAAGTCTTTTGCTTAAGGGAAGCTGCTCAACAAGTGGCCTACGCGCTTACGCCCCGCGAGGAAATTCGACTTTCCTCTCTTATTGCGTGGGAATGGCAGCGACCATTGACCACGTGCCTGAAGTCACGTAGTTCAAACAAACGGCATGCGCTCTACCACATCACGGTCACTGGCTTCTTGCTGTTGTAGTTTAATATCTATCTTTCCCGTTTTCATCATTGGACTTATCGAGATACATTGACGTCATTGACGGTGTATCTGTGAGTTTCTAACGATGATTTCGGTTTGACGGCGCAGTGAGAGATCAGCTAAGTTCGTCCTTTATTTGCAGATGCGGATTATGACGAGATGAATAGGTGGAAAGTTAACACATTCATATATTTAGGGTTTACGAAACGAACAATTTGATTATAATGAGAATATACACAAGACGAAACAAACAAGATCCTTCAAACATTTGATTGATTGGATCTGGCCTACGTGACATAGGACACTTCACGCGGTATGGATGGGTGAGCCTCTATTTATCTAACAAAACAATACAAACACTACACCAAAACAAAGCCGTATAACCTCGAATTGAACTGGTATACAAGCGATAAGATAGCGACGCGTAGTGAACGAGTTACCTGACCAGCTAACAATAAAGGAGTTTATAAGATTTATAACGGTGGTTTTCAAATAGGCTTCCACAGACAGATGAGTTCATCGCTGCAACTTTCTAGCAGCACATGAAGCTTTCTTTGAAACATGTGATAATGCATAAACTGATAGCGGAACCGTGCAAACAGTCGAACAAATAATTCTGATGGGTGTGTTCAGCATATAGAAGATTACCGTAAATACACGATTGCGAATAAAGCTTATCGCAAGAGTGACCCACGTCCAATGTTATCGCTTGAGCACGTGCTCATCTCATTTTGGAAAACAAAGCTTCGTTTATTTCGAATGTATGACATAATTAGGTCCTTGTACGAAATGCAATCAATCGATTATTTATACAAACAGAACAGCAATCACACGATTGACCGGGTGTTTGTTGTCGTAGAGCCGATAATTGGATTATCGACAACCTTATCAAAGGTCCCATCTTCTTGTATGAACATTCCACTATTTTACTATACGCTTAGCACAATTTTTGAAAAAAAAAATGATCTGTAAATAGTTCAACCGATTGAGATTCAGTATTGTATGACGGCATAACACCCAAACGATGTGCTAATTATTGATGCTAATTAAATAAATACGCAATCCTTTTTTCGAACACATGACAGATGTGAACCCGTTGAGCACTTTGTTCTGGTTCTTCCATAGAAACTTACAATTTGAAACCACGTGAATTCATCCAGCTGAGACACTGTTATAAAGACAGTAAACACACTTCAAAAGTGTAAACAGGCAGCAAATTGTGTACCGCGGTACAAAGTGAAAACGGACGCGGAATGTCCGCAGATTAGATAGCACACCGTCTACCTTCTGGGACCATACAGTTGGCAAACATGCATCACATGAAGTGTGAATTGTATATTCCCTTCATTGCGACAGATATCTGTCGTTAGCAATCACGCTCAAAGTCAGTTTACGAAAATAGCACCTGCACTGGACTTTCCACTGTTATGTGTTATCAATCCTATCAATCATAAAACCAATGCCTACACAGCGTGGTAATTTTTATCCTCTCCTTTCTTTGCAGGCAAATCAAAGTCCAAATCATCCAAGGAATCGTGTCCCTTCTGCAAGGAACAGAAGAAACGCCCCTTGGGCGCATACCTACGTAAGCGGGGTCAACGCATCACTAGCGAGAGCATCTCCGAAGACGTCGAAGAATGCGTCGAAGAAGAGCAAGAGGAACCGACCGCAACGGTCGGCGGAAGCCCGAGCAACAACGAACTGGCTCACAACCACAACCATCAGCACCATGATCAAAGGCACCAGGTCGTGGGCAGTGGAAGGTACTCTCGCCAAGAGTCACAGGACAGCGATGGCAAATAAGCTTTTCTATAATTTTCTGCTTACTCTAGTCTACAAAAGAAGCAGTGGTTTTCTTATTACAGTTGTTTATGTATCTATATCTTTTTTTTACGGTATAGTTCTAGGATTAAATAACACTAAGTGAATCTACCACGATTTTTCTCCACAAGCGAATGGATCTCCCTGAACAGCAGAACAAAAGCAAGTGATAGTTTCAGTGAAACTAACCGATGTAATAGTAGTTAAGCAGGGGAGTATCTCACATTCACTGAAGAATAATTGACCCGGTCAAATGAGGAAAAGACTGACCTTCCACCAAGTACCTTTCACATCAATGCAAAACGAAAACAATTTATGGGCATGAATGAGTATGGATATACGCCCAACAGCTTTTAAGTCCAATCGAGTGCAATCGTACAATAACTGCTAAATAGTGGCATTTTTTTTTCACTTTCCATGAAATTTTTGTTGATCATATTTAGATTGGGGGAAGAAAACGAAGGAAAAAACAAAATAGAGAAGTCATTCTTTTTCTCGTTATTTAATCAAAATTGTATCTTTTAAGGCATTAGGATAGTTAGAGGTAAATCTATTTAAACTGTTTAGCGTAACGCATCATCTATACATGATACTAATTCTTTATTGCTGTTTAACGTAAGCATAATATTCGATTCATTGTTTTTGGATGCATATACTTATTGTTGAATAAAAATGAAGCAGCCTAATATTAAAACTGGTGGTGATCAATCAATTACAATTTATTGTGCTGAGAAAATCCCCATGCTTTTTGTTTCAGTACAGGAATAAGTAGGACGTAAAGTTAAAACAGCGACGAAATTAAAATTCCTTTACTACTGCCATGTGACAACAATGTGACGACGGACACGCCAAAATCATACTTGTTTAGGAGAAGATTTTTTTCTGTTATTATAAAGTCTGTGGTCCACTTTGAATCCGGATACATAAAACCAGGTGTTTCTCGGGATTGGATCAAAATGAAGGTATTTTATTGTACTTTCATAAAAAAATGCAATATTACGCCGACGGTGTTCGGATGAACTCGTGGACTTGCTTTGGAATTCCCGCCATCATCTGCGGCCCACTGGACTGGTCAACCTCGGCGGCCATTTTTTTTTATCATCGAGCCATCTGTGCAGCGTCCTGAGTCGTCTTTCCAGTTTTCAATAACTTCCGCTTCATAATTCGACAGTGAGCATGCATAAAGGCGAATACGCGATGATCGATTCTCTTCATCGATTTTCTCTTTGCATTGCTACAGCTAAGCGAAACCATTTTCTAGAATTTGTTCAATGCAGAGTAGTAACAGGTTGTATTGGCTATCAAAAACAACAGCAAACGCACCGAGAAACGTTAAATCTAGCGAGTTATTAACAAAAGAGAAAATCGACGAAGAGAATCGATCATCGCGTATAGGCCCTTATGCATGCTCACTGTCGAATTTCCCAATACTTTTCTATTGGGTGGAATTGCGGGTAGTTGGGTGGATTGATATCCTTGTCCACGAAATCCACCGGCGGCGGCGTGTAAAAAAGTTTCGGTGGCGGCGGTCTAAAACAAACACGTCATATGTGTGCATGGCGCTGATAAATTTATAATAGAAGTCCGGACGCTGCTTAGATTGACTAGATTACGTAAATTCCCCGATAAATTCCAAAGTAGATCTGAAGAGTCTATTATGGAGATTATGAGTAGAATTCCAGGGAACTCTAAAGCAAATCAGAAGGAATTTTAGAGAGCATTGTAAGGGAACTCTGAGACTCTTTCCTTCAAATTGAATTAACCTTACGGCAAACTTACAATTCTAAAATTACACCTAATGATCACCTAAGGCTGAAAATATCTTAAAAGTTGATCAATCAATCTAAGAGAAATTCTGAGGAGAGCTGCAAACAAATATGGATAATAATTCCAAGGCAGCACATAACATATGTGGAACTCGATCATCCAAAATCGATCCTATTTCAGTGATTTCAGGTGGTATAGAAGGACATCGATCTGTCAAATTGATTATACCAGCTGTAAAATGAGAAGGGGATCAAGGGGCCTGTCAATTCTTTTGAATGATTCTACCGTGGTTTATAATTATATGTGTTCCTAGCACTCCTGAACTCATGTCTTACTATTTCCTTAACCATATATGTGCTTTATTTAAAATTATATAGGGGAAACAGGCCTACTGTTGCTGTACGTTAGCAGCGTTATAAGCCTATTGTTGTGTATGGAGGTCTCCATACACAACAATAGGCTTCTAACGCTGCTAACGTACCGCTACAATAGGGCTGTTTCCCCTAGCTAACTTTAACAAAGCAAAACTGTGGTAAACTTAGAAGAAACATGTATTTCCTTCTTGGGACACTTCCTATTTTTTGGAACCAATTGCATCAAACTTTGATTTCATTAGGAGGAAAAACATGACCGCGTAAATTTGGAATTAAGTGCTTACATTTTTAAGTCCAGAGAGAAGCAGCAAAATTTGGAACAAGAGTCAGAAGTACCATTTGAAAAATAGTCAGTGTTTTGAGCTGACTTTGCATCGTTCCATTCGCAAGAATTTTGTAAGCAGAACGATAAATGAAATCGAGTGCTTATTGATACCTACAATATCCAAGATTTCCCTATGTTTCTCAATTGCGATCAATTGAAAATTTCCTCAAAAATCCCAACACAAAGAACTACTCCAAGTAATTTTTAACAAAAAACATGGTAAGGTTGATCCTTGTTGATTGAAAAGGCAAAAGAGGAGCTACACACAATCATAACAAACTTTTTTTCGACCACTATGGCCACTATGCAGGGCTGGTAATGCTGATGCGATATAATAGTAGTGACTTTAGTGACTAAAATTACGGAAATAGTGAATAAATAGTGACTTGTAAATACTTAATAAGTAACAATTTATATCGTAAATAAATTTCTGTTTAGAATAATCTTGGACTTCTTCCCTGCATTCAATTGGAAATTCAATTCGTATTATCCATAGAATTTTCATAGAATTCTCAAAACAAAAATCCATCACAGAATAACTTTGAAACTCTTCTCAGAATTCCTTTGAGATTGAACCCTAGAAATTCGATTCCATTGGTATTATTCTCGGAATTTAGTTTGAACTCTTTAGAATTCTCTTGAAAGTACCTTCAGAAATCACCCCAGATTTTTTTTGGAACTTGTACTAATTTTGAATTCTTATTAGAAATGGACATAGAATCTTCATTCAATCACCATAGAATTCTTCTCAGAACTCTCGTTAAAGTGCACTCTCAATTAAATTGGAACTATGTCCAAAATTGTTCGGAGCTGAATTTTGCGTCTCTAATAATTTAAACAATAACCAAAAGCGACGCTCGTATGTGTTGAGCCAAGTTATATAGTTTAAATCTGGGTTGAGATTTAAGCGGAGATGAAAAAATCGGTCCTCAGAGCACTTAATTTTACATGAGACTTTCGTAGTCTGTACTTTGGTATTCTTTTGTTTTGAGAACAATGAGTGTAAATATGGAAACAATGCGCTGTAATAGGCTTAATGTTGTGGATTATAAACTAACGGATCGGAACAAACGTATTATTGTTTTTTGCATGGTGAAATCATTGATATTATTGATGATTTCTACACGATAGAACGGAAATGGGCGATTACGACGAAGTAGCGCTCTTCCCTACTCAATTTAAACATTTTGTTGATATTTTTAAATTTCACTCTATTTTAGTAGAGAAAAAGTGACTTTAGTGGCTATTTTTAGGGAAATACTGACTTTAGTGACTTTTTGTAAAAAGTGACTTTTTAGTGACTGGTTTCAAAATAGTGCCCAAGAAAACCAGATGCCCACTGACAAGCAAATTCAAACCGTGAGATCCCAATGCCACTGAATGACTCGGAGGCAGTCTTGTAAGCGGTCACGGTAGTCGACACATTTTCTGTGATAATTGACTGCCTTTGCCTCCGACACTTGCAAAACAAGCTATCATAGTACAGTACCAAACTAAAATGTCATATGACAGGCTCTGTCATACGACACGGTCGCCGAAGACCGTCACGTATGTATGTATTTTAGTTTTTCTCATATTAAGAGCTGCTGATGTTGTACTTGTGTGAATTCTGAAAATAGCAAGTAATGATGTCCTAGTAATAATATTTCTGATCAGAAATGGTTTGATTTACACCAAATTAAGAAATTACAACGAAATCACACATGTCATATGATAGCTATTTTGATAATTTTCTTTTAGCTCGAATGTTATTTTACCGCTCGTGTTTTGTGAGAGAGACGACGGTAGAGCATGAGTGTTCGAATACAAACAGACTGTCGCGCACGACAACGAAGCGAGTGTAATAAAAAACGTCAACTGTTTCAACCCCTGCTCGGAGGTACGGCGGAAAGCCAAAAATAAATATGTGTGCCAAAAGACCGCAATCCGACAAATCAGCCGCAGTGCCGTCCTATCGAGGATTTTTTTTCGGTCTATTGAGCTACATGGTGTACAATGATAATTGGAAGGCCAAGGACACCAAGCAACACACCAACAGGACCAAAGGTGCGCCGCACGGTGGACTACGGACCGTATGCCAATATTCACTAAGCTCAGTTTGAAGGCATAAGTTAACCTTTGTTATGAAGTTAATCAGTTTTCATTCTAATTGTTTAGTGGATACCCGTTAGCTTAAAACATCTGGAGAGCTAGTATGAAGAAAGTTCACGAGAATTCTTAAGAGAAGTCATAAGATTTTGAGGGTTTTTCAAGGATATTGTCTGACCATTTTGATCATATTTCCAAACAAACTATGAGTATTGTTCCAGGAGTTTCTGAAGTAATTTTTAAAGAAATTCTAAGGAGAATTTCAAGAGAATTCCAAAAAATCTAAGAGATCCTCTGAAGGGCATTTTGAGAAGAATTTCAAGGTAATTTTGAGGAAAATTTCCATGCAATTCTAAGCTGAAATCCAAGTAAATGTTTTGAGAATACTTTTCTTAACCCTAAATTGCATACCAGGAAATTTCCAAGGAACATTCTAAGCTAATTCGGAAGAAAATTGTGGATAGAAATTGAAGCAAATTCTTGCCAGAATTATTAGGAATGCAAAGATAAATGCAAATGTAGAGTGAGATTCTATAGTTCGCTGGAAAGAGCTCTTCAAGTGTTCTGTGCAGAATTGCGAGACTGTTATTTAGAAAATTTCGGCAGAGTAAGGGAAATAATCGTAAGATTATCGAGGGAAATCCTGAAAGTGGAAAACATTTTGAAGGCATTTTGGAATGATCGTATGAAAATCCTTGAGAAATTTGCAAAGATATCCTGAGATAAGTTCCGAAAAAATAATATAGTAAATCCGAAGTT